CCAGCGCAGTGCCTGAAACGAGCCAAATGGTTGCGAAACGAATTCAAGACAAACACACAACATGTCTGTCACCAAATGTACAACGCTCGTTACACACGTGCGTACAAAACGTGAGACGTGAGAATCGTGCTCAGCATATCCCACACTTCTGAAATATCTGCACTGCTCCTAAGACGCGTCGGCATGACCTGCTGACAAGTCTTCAAAACGAATTCGAACTCACACGATACTAATTACTTAGAGCTTCCTATGAAGGTTACTCCAGACAGTCCTGAAAACAAAGCCCATGGCCTTAAGATGCCTAGAGGCTGTCGCATGCGAAAACCACTTAGTTAACAAGTCTGCTACGTTCACCCTAGCGCCTACTGGGATCATCTTCAAGAGGCGATTCAGGACTTTCTCCTGGATCCACAGAAACTTAGTCATTACATGTTTCTGTTTGTCTAAACCCTGCCTATGTGCAAACGCTCGAGCCGCGGACGAATCCGAGGCCATCGAAACAGAAAGCTCATCCTTCACCTTGCTCACCACATGCACTTCAAACGAGAATCCGAAATCCTCCAAGATGGCCTTGATCAGAAGGCCAGTCGCTCCACCTTTCAAGATACCGTAGTATTCTGCTTCTCCACTGCTGAGTGCTACTGCCGATTGCAATAAAGATTGCGTCTTTAAAGTATGATTGCCGAACATTGCTACCATACCGTTAGTACTCTTACGTGTAATCGGACATCCTGCGCAGCCTGTGCCCACCGACATGCTGAGCTCCTTCGGCATTGCCTGAGGGAAAAAACTGGAGACGAGGCACGGATACTTCTTCAAATAGCGGCACAACTTCTTAAGAGCCGCCAAGTCCGAGACACTGGGGTGCTGCATTTTCCTCGTCAAGCTTTTGACCGCCTCGCCGATGTCTGGCCGATCCTGAGCAAGATAGGCCACGCGCATCACGCCTGAGCGGTAGGCGCGGACACCGGCAGCGCCCAAGACAGGGAGCTCAAGCTCCTTCAGAGCATCTTCGACGCTCTTCTTGCTGGACGGAACATCAACTCCCTTTGCCGAATCCTTTTCCAAGCCGTGATCTCTCAGAAGCGTGTCCACGTGCCGTTGGTCACTCTCGATCTCGATGCAGGCCCCGGGCCCTCGAACGCACCTCAGAACTCGGTTCAAGAAAACGACCTCCTCCGAATCCTTCTCCTCAGGCCCCAGGACACCAGAACACTTCATGTCATACTTCGAGGCCAGCCTGGAATTTACATCCGCAAGTGTGACGTCATCACCGACGACCATGAAATCGTCGCCGCGGACGAGGCCCCTCGCCTCGTCGCTCTCACGAAAGAGAAGAGAGGGATTGGACATCCCTTGCCGGAACTCGCCATCTCGCATGAGATTCAAATCGTCGCCCTGCCATATATGACTTGCATCGCGCGTGCCGCACATGCTCTCGTTTAACTTAGCTTCTCGACCATCGGGAAGTGCGATGTACATGTCACGCTGTGCTCCTCCGCACAGGCGTGCCCGAGACACATCCCAAAAGCCAACCTTGAGAGGTAAACCTCGCTGCGAAACTCTTAAAGTCATCACCAAACTCAACGGCAACCTGAAAACCTCCAAGGGTGGTGTGCTGCTGAAAAGTTCTGCTGCTGCAAGTTGCTCGGGGCATCGTTTCTGCTTGCCTGCGATCTCTCTTGCTACCATTCTGCTACGATAACGAGGACGACAGCTATCACCTTTGTTCGTATCTACCCAGCGGGTCCCAAGGGGGTTCTTGCCTGTGAGCCTCCTGCAGGCACCCTGCTCCACCTCGGTGAAAACGTTCTGCGTGGTCATCCAAGCGTCCTCCTCCTTTCTAGCTTGTTCAGTAAGTTTAGTGTTAAACAATCCTCCATTCACGTCGTCCCAATACTTCTCCTCCTCCTGTCCTGGCTCTCCTCCTGGAACGGGTAAGAAATACTCTTCCTTAACTTATGGAACTGGCCCCGCATCAGCGACTGCATTGATCTCTCCGATCCCCCGAAACTCGGATGCGATAACTTCAAAAATAGCCTTCCTCAACTGCACGGGGTACTCACGAGCCATGGATGCTCGGCCGCCCAAGAGAGGGACGTGGTCATGCGAGGGGTCCGAGCAGGTGCGAGCAAGCAAGTCGGCCAAAGCTGCACTGTTCGTCAACCAACCGGTCGGCTTGCGAACAGGACCCTCGCTGCCATCTGCCCGAGTCCCGACCATGCCAAACTGGCACATGTCGCTCTCGACTAAAAACACGCCTGGCTGACTGGCCAGCCACTGTACCCATTCATCCTTCCAGCTCGTAGCTGTCCAGGGGTGTTCGCGAAGAAACCAACGACCCCGACGAATCTGGTCTAAACAGGCATCCACCGTGAAATGTAGCATTTCCAACCCTTCCTCCTCCAACCTAGCTCTCTCCTCTGGATCTTTGTACTTGCCCTCGCTAAGCTTCTTTAGGTAAGTGAACATCTTGCAGTCTGGAGATGCTAGGGGGAAGTAGGGGTCCTGGTCCTCTAGAGTCTGCATATGTCGACGCTGATAACGATGCTCCCTCAAATCGTACGACTCCCCGTCCTCATCTGTGATCTATAAATCTGAAATGATGCCCGGCTGTAACCCGAACGCTCCAGATAACTCCGAAAAAACAACCTGGGTTGAAAAGCTCCGAGAACGCGAAAGCCTTTAGGTCCAGGGGGATGTCGAACTTGATGGATGATGCAGGGCCATCGGCGCCTCGGCGCCTCCTGCCGCGGCCGGAACTGCGGCTACCAAGGCGGGCTGCATTTGGACGTCTCCATTTGCTGGTCCCGCTACTGCTGGTGGCACTGGCGCTGCTGGCCCTCCTGATCCAGCAGCTCCACCTGATCCTACGCCCTCTGGGGCCTCGTCACGAGGCCCCCATCCTGCTTCCTGACGAAGCAGGCACTTCTGATCTGGCTGCCTTCCGCACTGGGCCCTGGGGCCCACTCTCCAGCGATGCCTTCGCTGCTGGTTGCATAGTTACTGGCGCGTGAGGCTGAACTGACGGCTGAGGCGCTGCTGCTGCTGCTGCTGCTGCTGTGGGCGGTGCCGCTTCTCTTCCTGTTGGCGCTGGGCGGTCTGCCTGAGCACCTGCTGGATCTGCCGCTGCTGGGGCGGCCTCTCGCTTCGGCTTCGATTCGAGCCGAGACCTGAACATGAGATATCTTGGATCTCCTCTCCCTTCCAACTTCTCGAGAATTCTCTTTCGGCACTCGTTCGTATGAGCTACCGTAGCCTTGCCACCAGACAAGATCATCTGCTCGCACGCCAGACACGCGGGCGTCGAGCCAAACTCGTCGATATTCTTCCGAGCCACATAGAAGTCTCGGATCTCATCAGGAGCTATCGGTACTGTCACGATAGACGGCACCACTCCAAGCGCCGGTGCTCGAGGTGGCGGTACAACAGCGATCGCCTCCTCACCGGCTGCTCCAGCCCAATTCCAGGGCTCTCCTTTCATGTCTACGATGTCGTCCTGCCACGCCCAACGGGCAACTGGATCCAATCGAGTCAAGGATGTACCCCTTCGGACACCCTGCGTAGTCATGATCAGAACCGTGGCACTTCTGCTGGCATGCCCGAGGTAGAGGCCTTCTACCATGCGTGGCTCCAGATCTTCCTTCTTGAGTTCGACTCGTGGGTCGAACTCGAACTCGCTCTCCGAACGCCACAGTGGACCTTTCCAACTTGCGTCCCGTGCGCCTCTCCTCACCGGTTCGGCCGCTGCTGTCGACACGGAACCGGTTGATGACGCTAGCTGCTGCACGAGGGGCCCATGAGATAAGAGGATGATTGAATGGTAACTTTCTTCCACAATGATTCTGCATGGCGAAACCTAAAACTCGCACTTGATCTTTGATTTGCTTGACTGCGTTTTAGATTGTTCCGTTTGCTGCATGATCTCCTACTGGGCTCTCCTGAGAGATAGCGCCACATCCTGGAAGACCATCATTAATAGCTTTCTTTCGAGCTAAGATAGAGGACTCCCCGTCTGACTTCATCACGATACGGCGATGCCCACAGAACTCTACGAAATCCTTTCCAAACCTGACCGAGAACTCTTGCAAACCTTTGGCTGGTACTGTAGTGGCTCCATACACTGAAAGCTTTGAACAGAACATGACGAGAAGAGTTCTCTCGGTCAGACCCTCGACCTGACTCGACTCGGTTTCAGAGGGACTTTAAAACGCATAGTCCAAACTGACTTGTGGAACGACAAGCTCTGAATTAATGGTTACACGACGACGCTGCTCACCAGTTGCCTTGCCGTCCACACATGCTTTGCACCACTGACGAAAAACTGCATGGCCCGTGGCCTCGCGGGCGCCCACCTCAGCCTGCGTCGGCGCTGAGGGTGAACGCGGCACCCGAGCCTTAGGGGCCCGACCGGCCCCCTGCTGACTCGGGAACTCGAACTCCTGCTGAGGCTGGGGGGCCGGGCTCACAGCGGATTCGCCTGCCGCTCGCCCCCCGAGGCGGAAGATCCGCCCTCCTGGATCGGCGCGAGAGACAAGGCACCTACTTCCTTGCCAGAGCTGCTGATGCGCTTCTCAGCGTCGCCGTCGACCTTCATGCACATGTTGTAGACTCCTTCCTCGCTCTTGCCACAAGCCAACTCCATCGTTAGGATACCGCTCAGCCAACTGATTCATGGAACGAGTCAACTTCTGTCCAGAGTCGCTCTTGACATCATATATGACACCTCTCGATCCATTCAAAGTCCCAATGCGATTCTTCAACATCATAGCTGCAGAAACGAATGGCTTGGAAACTTGAGCGCGCCTGCCACGAACTCGAGCTGGGCGATTGCACTCATCTCTGCCACGTATCTCACCAAAGCCACTATCTGTTATCAACTCGCCCGTCGCTGTACGATACTGGCAACCTGTCGGAGGGGACGTAGCTGGAGTCCACTCTGCGGGTAACACTGTAGCCGCTGCACCAGTATCAAAGTTTAGCTTGACCCAACTCCCAAGAGAACGAATGCTTCTCTTCGAACTCATTGTTTGACAACGTGACTCAGAACAACTCTTACCACCAAACGATCCATGAAGATCGAGAGGGCGCAACTCCAAAATCATATCTTCCTCTGGTTGTTGTTGTCCTGATTGTTCTTCACCTCCTTCAGCTTCGAGTTGATTTGCCGACTTTGGTCCCCACTTGCTGCCTTTGCCGCCACCTTTGCTCTTCGACTTGCCACCTGTCGACTCACTCTTACCACCATCAGTACGCTTGGGCTTCCAACAGTTCTCCGCCTTGTGACCGGTAATGCCACAGTTCCAACATGCTGGACCAGCGTTGATCGCACCCTTGGGCCTGAACTTGCCGCCCTTGTCGCCCTTGGACTTGCCCTTGCCCCCATTGTTGTCGTAGCCTTTCCCTTTGCTCTTGCCACCTTTACCGTCACGGGGCATCGATCCGACGCCCATGGCATTGGGGCCTGGTCGTCTCTGTTTGCCGGTCTGAACGTCTCTCTCGCGAATCTTTGCTCCAGTCCTAGCCTCGATGTAAAGCATAACCTCTTTGCGTGGGGCGTCGTAGTCTCTGCTACGAGATTGGTTCAAAAGAACGTGCCCATCTAACCCTTCTGGAAGCAAACTTTCAAGAGCTGCAATCTTGATATGGTCGCTGATGGTCTCTCGCTCTCCTGCGTCGTCCTTGCGACGCTCATACTGAGAAACCTGATCTTCCAGTGTGGGCGCAAAACCGGGCCGGTAATTGATTGCACCACTTGGGGTCACTTGGAACACTTGAAGTCGCGGAGGCAAAAAGGGAAGGATGGGCCGGTAATCGTTTGCACCAGTTGGGGCCAGTTGGGTCAGTTGGACCAGTTGGGGTCTAATGGGGTCAGTTCGGGTCAATTGCACGAATTGGGGGCTGGCCAGGCGGGGCGCACATCTGGCCGCGGGGCACTGAATGACCCCGACCGGCCAGTGGCCCAACTGACCCGTGTCTCAAAAGGACCCAACTGGCCCAACTGACCCAACTGGCCCAACTGACCCAACTGGCCCAACTGACCCAACTGACCCAACTGACCCAACGGACCCAGCTGACCCAACTGACCCAACTGACCCAACTGACCCAACTGGCCCAACTGGCCCAAGGGCCCCCCCTCCTCTTCCTCCTCCTCCCCCCCTCCTCCCCCGTCCTCCTCCTCCTCCTCTCCTCCTCCTCCTCCTCCTTCTCCTCCTCCTCCTCCTCCTCCTCCTCGGCGGAGCCAGCCCCGCAAGCTAAGACCGCAGACTCGGCGGAATCCGAAGAGCAAATACCACAGGCTCCAGCCACCGGCTAATTACCACAGGCTGAAGCCTAAAGCCACCGGCCAGTTACCGGCCAATTACCGCTATTACCATAGGCGAATACCACAGGCTAACGCGGCAGGCGAGCCCCCACGGCGAATGCAGCCCCCATGGCGAATACCACAGGGCCTAAGAGGCACCCAGGAGAGCCCCAACACGGCCCAAGAGGCCTCCAGACGGCGCAAGAGGACCCCAATAAAGCCCTAAAAGGGGCCTTCGAGCCCTCGGCTTGAAGAGGCCCCCACGAGGCCCCAAGAGGCCCCTGAGAAGCCCCACAGGCCCCCAAGAAGCCCCCAGGAGGCCCCCACGAGGCACTCAAGAGGCCCCCAAGCGGCCCCAGGAGGCCCCTCAAATGCCCCCCCCCCCCCCCCGAGCACGCAAGGAGGTGCCAGCGATGCTACAATATGGGCCGGCGGAACGAGCGACGCGATTGAAGCGCCGGCCAATTGCAGCGCCGGCTAATACCACAAGCCTCTACGTCCGGCCCGTGGGCTGATACCCCTGGCTCGGCCGATACCTCATGTTAGTTCACAGAACGCATGCGTGCGCTTTGCCCAGAACGACTTCAGTGACAATGGCGATTGGCGATTGGCAAGCGAGACCCTGAAACACTTAGAAAGAAAATGGGGGCCTTTACAACTTAACGAAACCGGATGTTATCACAGAGATTCGATGAGGACCGAGGGGGATCTAGAATCACGAGGACATGCGTGCAATTACGAAGACCCAGGACGATGGGGACCTAGGAGCTGCCACGTGGCCACGGACATGGGGGCAAGAATGATGACGAGGACGTAGAAAGCAAAAGCGAAGACGAGGAAATAAGAGCCACAAGAGCCAAGAGAGCGCCAAGAGGGCAATGAATTGGGGGGCGGGGGAGGAGGAGGGACCGAGGAGCAGGAGGATGGGCGACGAAGGTTAGGAGCAGCACGGGACCTATGCGGGACAAACACGCAGCAGGCGAAGGGTGGCGCGGGGCGCCCAGCCTCCCTTGCACAAAAACAAATTCATAGCGAGCGGGGCGAAGCGCGCGCGACAACGCGCGTTTGCCCTGGCAATGGCAACAAGGCAAGTGCATCGGCGCCAATGCGCGGCCTGGGGGCGATCGTGCGCGAGCGGGCCGCGCGAAAGATTTATATCGCGTCCCAGGCCTCCCTCCCCGCGGACCGCGCGGACGGCCTCGGGCGGACCGGCAACCGGCGAGCGGGGCGGCGGGGGGGTGGCCGGGAACGGTTCCTGGAACCCCTAACGGGCAATCGATGGACGTCGCGGTCGTTCCCTGCACGCGCATCCGCGCAAATGCGCCCGTTGGGGGCGATCGCGCGAGACCAGCGGCAATACTTCTCATGCGAAAAGTTTCATTGATGTCACCGCTTCCCACCCACCGCGCGGACGGCCTCGGACGAACCGGCAACCGGCGCGCGGGGGGGGGGGGCGGGGCTGCCCCCCGCGGGGCAGAAACCCAGCTCATAGGCTCAGGTACCCAGAAACACAGGGAGCCGCCTCCGAATGATCTGCAGACTGGAAAGCCTCTGGCGGGCGACCTCGAAATTTCAATTTACTTCCCCGGTAAGTCTGCACGCTGAAGGAGGGACCTGAGAATTCCATAAGGCCTGGCCAACACTTAACCGGGTCAGACGACATGCACCGCCAAGATTCCTGAATTGAGCAAGGCCCATGTTCCATTCAGCGGTGCTTGGAACTATGCCACCCTGGGGGGCCAAATCAGCAATGGGAGGCCAAGGAAAAACGGATTGGGCTGAATCGCAGTCCGCACCCCCGGGCGATCACCGTGGCGAACAGACTTGCCTCCTGCAAAGAAAGCAACTACAAGTTGTAACGTGCCGAGCCTCGGAGATGCAATGGCCCAGTGTTCCGGCCGTAAAGCCTGCGGCTGATCTGGCGGCGCCTGCGGCGACGAAGCCCGCGGCTGACCCCCGATATCCTCACGGCGCGAAGAGCGCGATATCCCCGGCGCCATGCATCGTGAGCAAGCACTCCCCGGTCGCCGCCGACCAGACCTTCACGACGTCGCGGTGGGAAGCGGTCACCACGCGTCGGCCGTCTGGCGAGAAAGCGGCCGATGAAATGTCGTACAGCGGGCCGCCCAGCGTGCAGGGTGCGCCCCCTGAGTCGCCAGTCTTCTGTCTTTTTCTGGTATGCGTCCTCGGCCGAACAATCGCAGTACCATCCCAGGACGCAGTGAGAACCTGCTGACCACTTGGCGAGAAGGCAGCGCAATGCACCCAGTCCTGGTGGCTCTCGAGTATGCGCAGACAGTCCGAGGTGGTGGCAGACCATATTCTCACCGCCATGTCGGTCGAAGTCGTCAGCACTTCGCGGCCGCTCGGAGCAAACACTGCGACTAACAATGGGCCCCCATGCCCGCGGAACGTGCACAGGCACACCCCCGAGGACGCCGACCACAGCTTCGCTGTCCAGTCTTGCGAGGCGGTCAGCACGTCTCGGCCGTCTGGCGAGAAAATTGCGCTATGGATCTCTGCGAGGTGTTCGGAGAGAACGAGCACGCGCTGCCCGCGCAAAACAGACCGCACTGACGCCGACGGGCACTTCGACTTCGCGAAGCGCTCCAAGGTCACCACTCCCAGGGAGTCGGGCGAGAAGACCCCGCGGTGCCCGGGCAGAGTGCGGAGGCGCTTCCCGTCAGCGGCGGACCAAATGATGGTCGGACCGCCATCGCCACTGGTCAGCACGAGCGCCCCGCTGGGCGAGAAGACAGCGCTGAGCACGATGCGCGGGTGGCCGCGGAGAGTCTGCAGGCACTCCCCCGAAACCGATCAGATTTTCGCCGTGCCATCCCACGACGCCGTTACCAATTTTTGCCCATCCGGCGAGAAATTGGCCGAGACGACCAGCTCCAGATGGCCTTCGAGCTCGTGCAAGCGCGCGCCGGTGGCGGCCGACCATATGTAAACCATTTTGCCGCAGCGGGTTGCTATGCGGCGGGGCTCGCTCGTCACGCACGTGAGCCTGCACCCGCCGTGGGCACCGATGTCCGCCAAAGTCATGGTAGCCAGCAGCTCGCGTTCTTCAAAGAAGACACGCAACCTGCAACCATACTCACCATCAGGTCTCGGCATCGCCGCGAGCACGTCGTCCAAGTGCCACGACGGGTCGGCCTCGAAATCTGCGAGTTGGCGCCCACTGCGCAATATCACGGCAACGCGCATGTTGCGCGGGCTCACGCGGCGGTCTGGGGTCGCACCCGGGCCCGCCCTGCACCGGCCTCGGACGAACCGGGAACCGGCTGGAGGGGGCACGACACCTCCGCGCGCCGGCCTCAGACGAACCGGCAACCGGCGGCGGAGGCGGGCGCAATGGCTTGAGCCTTGAACCACAATGGAAGGGAGGGGGATAGGGAGGAGTTGAGGAGTTGGAGGAGATTGAGGAGTTGGAGGGGCTCAACGGGGGCCCTCTTGGGGCTTCCCGGGGCGTTCTGAGGGGCCTCAAGAGGGCTCCGAGGGGTTCCAAGAGGGCGCCAGGAGGGCACCAAGAGGGCCCCACAGCAAGATACACGAAGGTCAATCGAGCCCAGGAGGGGAATGATGGCGCGGGCGAAGCCGAGTATCACGAGGGAAAGGGGGCTTGAATGCGGCAGAGCAGAATGAAGAGCACCGGAGGCGGAAGGCAAACCCCTGACCCCTCGGCCCCTCGGGCACCTGGCTCCGGCTAAGCTCCGGCCAGACTCGCCCCAGCTCCGTCCCAGCTCGGGCCAGGCTCCTGACATGCTCCGACTGGGAGGTTCGGGGATGTCTGGGAGGGAGTGCGGAGGGATTGGCAAGTTATGGATGCATGTGGTGGAAGTGCGCGGAAAAGCGCGGAGAAATAAAAGGCCGCAGAGGTTTTGGCGGGAGTGCGGGGGGGGGGGGGGGGGGTAAACAGGAAGGATGTAAAGTTTTGGGCGCCCTGGGAGGGCTGAGCCCCAGGGTCTGCCGCGGACGACGTCGAGGGCCCCGGGGCCGACCGCGGGACATGTGAAGACCTCGGGCGGCGGATGCAGCTGGGGGCCCCGCGGGGGGCTGCCGAAAACGACGACGACGCGGGTGCAAAACACATGCGGACACGTCTGTTGTTTTGCTGCTGCCGCTTCCGCGCGCGGGCTTCGCGCCATGCACTCGAGCGCATGGCGTGGTTGGGCCGGGGGAAGGGGGCGATGGACAGGGGGGTAGAGGAGAAGGAGGAGGCAGAGGAGGGGGATGGGGGGGGACTAAATGCAGGGCGAGGGGGAGCAGTAGCGGCGGCGCGGGCAGCTGGAACAAATGACTCGGGGCCCGCGGGCACGGGAAGAGTCAGCATTGCGCCGCGAACGGGCGCTCTGGGTTCAATGCGATGTCAAATGGCACGCATTGTGCCTGGGCGCTCCCTGCGCGATCACCGCGAGCCACCTTCTCAAACCAAAAAAACGATTTGGCCAGCCGGCGCCAACGGCGCAAGGGAGACGCAGCACGTGCTCTGCACGCGCGCGGGCGGCCCCTGGCGCGAATCCTCATATTTGGGCGCATGGATTTTGAATTGCCCCGCGGGCCCCTGCGGGGATGAGCATGCAGCAAGCGAAATGTAGCATGGGGCGCCGCGCGCCCATGCTCCTGCCCCCGGGGAGACTGGCGGGGCCCATCTCAAAAAACATCATGTCGAACGCGAGCGGGACCAACGGCGCGCGACAACAAGCACACAGGCCCAGGCGCCAACGCACGGCGTGGGGGCGGTAGTGCGCGAGCGGCCCCTGCAAATGATTTCCAGCACATCCCAAGCCCCCCTCCCCGCGGCCCGCGCGGACGGCCTCGGACGGACCGGCAACCGGCGCGCGGCGCAGGAGAGGGGGAGTGGCCTGGGACGGTTTATCGGTAGTCCTACCGAGCAGGCGATGGACGTCGCGGTCGTCCCCCGCGACCGCGCACGCGCCTGTTCGCGGGGGGGCGCGGCGGCGAGCCGCGGCCGGCCCTGCGCCGCTGGCCTCGGACGAACCGGCAACCAGCGGCGCGGGCGCGCCCCTCCGCGAGTCGGCATTGCTGCCGCGCCAGCCGCGGGCGAAGTGACAACCGCCGGCATCTGCATCCCCCCTCCCCAGGGGAGCAGCTGCTGGCCCAGGGTGCCTCAGCGGAACGGGTCGAAGATGGTGCTCAAACAAAATACAATATAAAAAAAAAAAAAAAGTAAAAACACAAAGTAAAGAAAAAAATAAGAAGAAAGAACAAAAAAGCTAAAAGTAGAAAAGGCAAAAAAAAAGAAAACTAAATAGGAAAATAAACGAAAGGAAAAAAAAAAAAAGAACAAAAAAAAATGAGAATAAAGAAAAAAAATATACAAAAAAATAAAAAAAAAAAAAAAAAAAAAAAAAAAAATAAAAAAAAAAAATAAAAAAAAGTGGGCAATGTCGCCCTCGTACTGCACTATCCTGTGACGCCAGTACCGTTGAAGTAATTGCCCAGACCCGCACGGCTGCAGCAAAGGGTCCATCTGGCACCAGCTGGGAAAGACCCGCCTCCGCGAAGAGGCCGGTGGTTTCGCCGCAAATAAGCGAGGCCAACCAAAAGAAAACAAAAGAACAAAAAAAAAAAAAAAAAAAAAAAACAAAAAGAAATAAAAAAAAAAAGAAAAAAAAAAAAAAAAAAAGAAAAGAAAAATACAAAAAAAAAAAAAAAAAAAAAAAGCCCGACAGAGGGAAAACCACCTCTCCGAAATGCAAACCGCCTTAGCCGGCATCATGTGTTTCAGGCTCGCCCACCAGCGTTCCACGGCCACGGCGCCGGTCTGCAGCGGGGCGCCAGCATCGGCGATCGCCAGCGCAGCGTCGCGCCACTTCCATAAGCCTTCGAGGCGCAGGGGCTTGAGCAGGCGGTCGTAGTGCGCCTGCACGGACATGGTCAAGGCCGAGCGCTTGCCGTGGAGGCGCGGGCCGGCCTAAAGGCGCCTGCAGATGCCGCGCCTCGCCCGGCACGTTTTGCGCCCGGGCGCGTACCACTTGAGGTGCGTCCGGATGGCATTCTTGAAACAAGCCAGCGTCTCAAAGCCGTGGTATCCCAGCGTGTCGTGCGCATGCACCCCGAATGCTGCGCACAGTCGAAGAACGGCGCCCCGCGTCGGCGACGCGCCGAAAATTGTGCGCCACGTGGGCTCCTGGTCCACTTGCGGCTGCTTCAAGTACGCTGCAACCGCGTCTGCAGAAGCAGGGTTCTCCCTGATTGTCTCTGCAGTCTGTTCCTGGCGCGAGCTAGCGCGGGCCGCGGCGACCGGGCCGGCGAGGGCGCCCCGCTGGGGAATTGCGGGTTGACGGGGCGCGCTCGCTGCCACGGCGCCGTCGCCCCGGGCCATGTCGATCCTTGGTGTTTTCCACAGCCTTGCGCAGCATCTCATGGTGCTCCACTGCCAGCGGCTGCGCAGCTGGCCCCCCCGCGCCCGCATCGGGCGGGCCGGCAACTGGTGCGGAGGGCAGCTGTTCTGCGGGCACCGGGGCGGCGGCAGCGGGGCGTCGCGGCGGCAGCGACAAGCGGTTCAGGATGTCCTCGCGGCGCTGGTCGGGCAGTCGAGGGGGGGGGGCCGGCGGGGCGGGGGAAGTTACCTGTACTCCCGCGAGAACCTGAGTGATGCCCTCTCCCCCCCCGCCCCAATGAAAATTATCATGGCGGAAAAAAAGCAAGGAATTGTGAGCACCGCGATGCAATTGGGACGAAGGATCGGGAGCTCTACGTGGGGTCACGAAATTTGTGACGGGTGCGCATTCCTGCGCCGGGCAGCGCCATGCGGACCCTGCCGCTGGGGCTTTCGGCGGGGCGCCCTGTCGGGCAGCGATCCGCGTGCGGGGCATGCAGATATGCGCGGGGCAACGCCATGCCGGCGCTGCCACTGGGGCCTTTGGTGGACCTCCCCAGCGGGCAACGAGGCGCGCAAGGGGCTTGCCCTTGGCGCGGTCGCGCATGCGAACCCTGCCGCTGGGTCCAGAGGTGGAGCTCCTTACCAAAGTGGGGTGGAACTCCTTGTGGGGGCATGCTGTTGATGGTGATGGCGATGACGACGATGGCGACGAAGGCGGTGATGGTCATGACAAGCGTGACGATGATGACGGTAATGATGACGATGCTGGCCTGACGACGACGCCGATGACGACGGCGACGCGGAGGGCAGAAGCGGGGGGCGGGAACGGGGGCGGGCGGGAGAAGGGAGAAGGGGGAAAATGGGGCGATGTGCACTCTGAGCGAGGACACAACACTGCAGGATGGTGGGGGCATGCCCGCGTTGGACTCGGGTTGACCCGAAAAGCAATCGGATACCCTTGTGGTCGTAGCACATATTGCGCGCGTCTGGCGAGGCCGCGCTGATGAGCTGCATGACAGCCAGCGTGTCGTGCAGCGGGTCACCCGTCACTGTGGTCGGAGAACCGGCGAAGCGCGTCCGAGCGCCCGTCGCGTCGCCCCTCGGCGTTGGGGCCCCTGCCGCCGCGTCGGCGTCGAGCCCCGGGTACATCCTCCTGTAGAAAGCATTCAGCTGCAACCGCTGCCTTCCGTAGACGTCCGTGGCGTGCACTGCTGGAGCCGAGTCCACTAGGCTGAGACCTGCCTCCAGCCGGTCCTGCTTGAAGCTGCCCGCCAGAGGGCCCAGGTCCTGCAGTGCATCCTTCACATCTTCTGACCTTGAAAGCGTCGGCGGCTGGTAGAGCGCCCCGTCCACGGTCACCCAGGCCAGCAGGACCGTGCGCGGGCGATCTCTCCCACCGTCGCCCTCCGCGGCGACCTTTCGGGCCTGCACGTAATTGCCGTCGCCCCTGATGACGGCGCCCGAGTACACGTTGATGTGTTTCTGCATGTGGCGGGTCGCCTCGGCAAGGAAGCCCTCGAGCGCCGTCAACAAGATTTGCTTGAGGCCCGGCGCCGTGGGAATGGCTCGCAAGTACGAGAGGACTCGCCCGGCTGCTCGGAGCCCTGCAGCGCCAGCGCAGCATTGCTCCACTAAAGCGCGGCGAGTCTGCCGAAGACAAAGTCTATCGTGGAAGAGCTGGACGAGGTGCAACAGGAACTGCTTGGTCATGAGCACCGACCCTTGCTTCTCCAAGCGCAAGTGGAGCACGCCCGGCACAGCGGCCACCACGTCGCTGACGTCCGTGGCGAAATAACGGTTCGGAAGACCAGCCGCCGCGCACGTGCGGCAGCGCCTCCGCCTCGCGTCGAACTGCCGGGGCAAAGGCAAGTCCAGCACCCAGAAGCACTTGTGGTCCTCGCTGTTTATCGCTGCGTGGTGCGGCGCGCCAAGCGCCTTCTGCTCGTCCAAATGCTTCTGCAACCCTGTGCGAGGCGATCTGCTCACCGCCGCGCCCCGCGCCCCCCCGCGCCGATCTGCCCGCGCCCTCGGAGTCGGCATCGCCCTGGCCTCTCGGCGGCGGCGAGGCCATCTCCGAAGCGGCGGCCAAGCGCCGCGCGGCCCGTGGCGGACTCGCTGGGCGACCGGCCCCAGACGAACTGGCAACCGGCGCGCCACGGCGCGCGACTCCGCCATGGACCGCAGGCGCTTCTCGCCTGACGCAGTAAGATCAATCGCGCGGCATCGGCGCGGGCAAAGGCGGAGGGACTGGGAGTGGGCACATCCCCCTGCGTCCTGCGGGAATGATCTCACCGACGCTGTGGTCCACGTGGCAGCTGCCATCGCACGGCAACTCTATGTCCCCGCCAGCCCACGCCTGCGCGGCCTGGCGAATCTGGCGCAGGTCGTCCGCTTTCGGCTCTGGCAAGGCGCATCGCGACTCGCGCACATCCTCGAACAGAATGCTCGCCCCGCGTCGATCAGCGACCCCGGTGGCGACTGCGCAGTGGAGGCCGACGTCGACGAGATAGCTTGCGGGGCACGTGGTAGCGTGACTGTGCGATGCCTTCAGGAGATCGCGGCCGCCGTCGCGGCACGCCACCAGCGGGGCGATGTCCGCGAGCGGCTTCCCCCGGCGGGTGAATGCGCCCAGGATGAACGCGAGCTGCCCTCCGCTGATTGCGACAAGGCCCCCGCGCGGCCGCGGCGGATCCGCGGTGCCGAAGACGACTGGCTCGTGGAAGAAATGCATGTCCATCAAAAGCACCAGCCGTGACAACGTCCTCCCAGCCGCCGCGCGCTGCGCCAGGGAACGCCTCCCGACGCCTCGGCCCGCGGGCGCGTCAGGAGCGACCAGCGACGCGGGGGCTTTGGCCGCGCTCTCCTCGGGCACCGGCGGCCCTGGCAGCGTCCGGCTCTCTCCGCGCCGGGTGCACAAGGCCTTGGCGCTCCTCGTGACCCCGGCGTCGCCGCGCCGCTTGGCGGGGAGCCTGCGGGGCCAGGGTGCGCCGACAGTGGCGGCCCCTCGAGGCCTGGACGTCGCCCTCGTGTCGGCCAGCTCAGGCGCGAACGGCGGGAAGACGCGGTGGGTCGCCTGCGCCAGGGCCTCGGTCAACGACCCCTGCTTAACCGGGTCGTGGATGTACCTGGCGGAAGGCTGCAATGGCCCCGGCCCCGAGGCCCCCGTCCGATGCGACCCGCCCGGGTCAGAAAGCTTTTCCTCTGATCGGCAACTGGCTGCCGGGGGCGCTGCGCAGAAATGCAAAGTGGCTGAGCCGGCGGGCGCGCGCGCGCGCGCGAGCGCCCCCGGGCAGACCAGCCTCGGACGAACCGGCAACTGGCTGCCGGGGGCGCCGCGCGCGGTCTCACAGGCGGGAGCCACTGTACTGGCGCAGGAGCCACTTGCTCCACGCGAACATGGACAGGACGTCGTCCTGGCTCAGAGGCTGATCCAAATTCGCCACCCCGTGGTCCGCCAGGCGGAAGGACCAGAACCCCTTGTCGAGGATGTGGTCGTACCTCCAAGGCGAGCGCATCGTCGAATTGAGCCTCTTCAACTCCTCGATGTTCTCTGGCGAGAGGAACTGTGTCGTGAGGGGGTGCGCCGCCTTGGCCTGCAGCTCGCTGCAGACGAACCGCCACTGCTCCTTCTCCGGCACCCCGTCGAGGACCGCATCCAGCTTCGCCGTGATCTCCTTGAACTTGTTGATGAGCGTTGCCATAGTGGTGTCGGGCCACGATGAGGAGAAACCGTGACCGGTCGGACGCCTGCGCCATGCTGGCGCGGGCGTCCGCCGCCCTCTCCGCGTCGTCCGCGCCCTCCTCGAGGTCGATGATGAACACCTTGTTGGCCTGCGGGCCAGAATGGGGGAGGGGGGGGCGCACCCTCCCGGGCCGTCCGGATCGGGCCATCAAGGCGGGGAAAAAGAGGAGGGGACGGAGTCGCCCCACCTTTGGGGGCAGCCCGGCGCGGGCCCCCCCGGGACCCGGGACCCCGGGGCCACCTGCAGGAGATCTTTATGCTTTATGGCGGTTCCGCCGCCCGCCCTGCGGGCTCGCGCCAAGTTCCCTCCCTCGACCCAGGGCCTGTACTGCCTCAAGCAAAGGGGGCAGCCGTACTGGTCTGCGCCCTTCATCAGCCAGTCGCAGCTCCTCGAGCATTCTCGGCAGTCGCGGTGCCGGCAGATGAAATGCTCCGATAGTCCCTCAATGATTTCCGAGGCCCACTGCGCCGCGTGGTCCGACATTTTGTAAGCCCTCACTTCGGGCACGTACTCGGGGTCAGCCACCTTTTTATCCCACTCGGCGTCGAACTCCACGAACGCCTGCTCGCGCTGGCGCCGCTGCTCTGGGGGCGCTTGGGAAATCTTGAGGGCGATGTACCGCGCCACTTTCTGGATGGCGAACAGCGTGGCCTTGCGGCGCTCGGAGCGGGAGGCCTCCGGATAATCCTTGCGGACCGATTGCTCGAGCTCCGACCATTTCTTCACGCGGGCCCGCTTCGCGCCGTCCTCGATGACCCCGTCGAGCTCCGACCAGCGCGCCTAGGAGTCCGAACACCCATCCTCGCCCAGCCCCGGACCTTCGACCACCCCGCCCCAAACCGAGCAACATTCCCCCTTTCGGCGGGTGGCTGATCCACAGGGGGGGAACTCTGGCTATATTAATGGCAGACACACCTTGCACGTCCTCCTCCACTCCTTATCCGTGTACTTGCTCTCGTACTCATCTTCTTTCTCGTAGCAATCTTTGCACGTGACCGGCCGGTGCCCCTGCCAATCGTCACTCCTCAGGTGCTTGACGTACGCCGTGCTTTTGACCAGCGGCTCTTCACACACGTTGCATGAGTACGTGGAAAGCGCCATCGGGCGCCTGGAAGACCAGCCTCGGACGAACCGGCAACTGGCAACCAAAGGCAACACCGAATGGCTTGAGCCAAGATGGCGACGCGGAGGGGCCGGAGCAGGACAAGAGGAAGAGGAGCGGGAGAAGCAGCAGGAGCAGGAGAAGCAGTAGGAGCGGGCCGCCCCCCCCCAGGCCGGCCGCCCCCCCTCCAGAGGCCGCCCCCCCCGGCCGGCCGCCCCCCCCTCAGGCCGGCCGCCTCCCCCTCAGGCCAGCCGCCCCCCCCAGGCCGGCCGCCCCCCCCTCAGGCCGGCCGCCCCCCCCTCAGGCCGGCCGCCCCCCCCCAGAGGCCGCCCCCCCCCCAAAGGCCGCCCCCCCCAGAGGCCGCCCCCCCCCAGGAGAAGCAGTAGGACCAAGCAGGACTTCGCAGGACCCCGCAGGCGAATACCACAGGCTAGTGCCCGCTCGGTGGATACCACAGGTACGCGTGCATCAACATCTGACATCCTACCCCTCCCTCCCATCCCTTCCCATAGCTCTACTTCATTGTCCTCGCACCGAATCGGGTGCCGCATCTGTCCCTCGTACCTGAGAGGAAGAGGAGGAGGAGGAGGAGGAGGAGGAGGAGGAGGAGGCACGACGACGACGCCGTCGAAGACGACGACGAGTTTTTGAAGGTTTGATGTTAAAATGTTAAAATTCTTATGTGTTTTTGGACCTCTCCTTCACGATCTGCAGGCTAGCACCGCAGGCGAATACCACAGGCGAATACCACAGGCCTGCAGGCGAATACGTGCAGGCCCGCAAGCGATTACCACAGGCGATTACCACAGGCGATTACCACAGGCTAGCACCGCAGGCGAATACCACAGGCGAATACCACAGGCCTGCAGGCGAATACCTGCAGGCCCGCAGGCGAATACCACAGGCTAATTATCCGGAGGCTTTACCACAGGCGATTACCACAGGCGATTACCACAGGCGAGCACCGCAGGCGAATACCACAGGCCTGCAGGCGAATACCTGCAGGCCCGCAGGCGAATACCACAGGCGATTACCACAGGCTAATTATCCGGAGGCTTTACCACAGGCGAATACCACAGGCGATTACCACAGGCGAATACCACAGGCGATTACCACAGGCAAATACCACAGGCTAGCACCGCAGGCGATACCACAGGCGAACACCGCAGGCGAATACCACAGGCTAGCACCGCAGGCGAATACCACAGGCGAATACCACAGGCCTGCAGGCGAATACCTGCAAGCCCGCAAGCGAATACCACAGGCGATTACCACAGGCTAATTACCCGGAGGCTTTACCACAGGCGATTACCACAGGCGAATACCACAGGCCTGCAGGCGAATACCTGCAGGCCCGCAAGCGAATACCACAGGCGATTACCACAGGCTAATTATCCGGAGGCTTTACCACAGGCGATTACCACAGGAGGCTAGCACCGCAGGCGAATACCACAGGCCTGCAGGCGAATACCTGCAGGCCCGCAAGCGAATACCACAGGCGATTACCACAGGCTAATTATCCGGAGGCTTTACCACAGGCGATTACCACAGGCGATTACCACAGGCTAGCACCGCAGGCGAATACCACAGGCGAATACCACAGGCCTGCAGGCGAATACCTGCAGGCCCGCAAGCGAATACCACAGGCGATTACCACAGGCGAATACCACAGGCTAGCACCGCATGCGAATACCACAGGCGATTACCACAGGCGATTACCAGGCTCGTGGGCTAGCACCGCAGGCTTGGCGAATACCCCAGACTAATGCGGCAGGCGAGCCCCAGTGGCGAATGCCACAGGCTAACTACCGATCGGCGGAGCCAAGCCCGTAGACGAATACCGCGGGCGAGTGCCACAGGCGAATTCCCGCTCGGCGGATACCACAGGCGAACACCGCAGGCGAATACCACAGGCTAGCACCGCAGGCGAATACCACAGGCGAATACCACAGGCCTGCAGGCGAATACCTGCGGGCCCGCAAGCCAATACCACAGGCGATTACCACAGGCTAATTATCCAGAGGCAAGCTCGTAGACGAATACCACAGACTAAAGCCGCCAGTTACTGGACTGTTCGGCGGAACGAGGCACGCAGGCTCGTACCACAGGCTCGGCTCATACAACGGGCCTGGCTAATACCGCTGGCTAATACGCGGACTGCGAACGCAGGCCAGCGGGCTGATACTGCAGCCCAGGTGGGGCCAGACCGGGCGCGCTTGTACCGCTTGGGTCAGTTGGGTCAGCTGCACCACTTGGGCCAATTGGGTTAGTTGACCGACCCAGTGCGATTGCACCACTTGGGTCAGTTGGGTCAGTTGCTCCACTTGGGCCAATTGACTTACTTGGCCCAGTGCGATTGCACCACTTGGGTCACTTGGGCAACTCACCCAACTGACCCAAGTGGTGCAATCGATTATCGCAGGCCGCCGCTCTTATGACGCAACTGACCCAACTGACCCCAAGTGGTGCAATCAATTAACTTCCGTCATTTCCGCCCGCAGAATATCGTTCTCTCGTTATCGTTCGTCCCGGCAAAACGCATTGCACGGTTTGCGTGAAAGCGTCGCACCTATCACTGGGACCCCGCAAGACGATCCCGAGACCCGCGCTCACTGCCGAGCCAATGCCCCAAGAACCCCCAAGATACCCCAAGAGCCTCCCAAGAAGCCCCCAACATGTAAGACCATGCAATGTCAGAGCCATGCAGTGGAACAGCGTACTACATTGCTTCCAAAAGCGGCAAAGCCAAGCGAATATACGCGTCAATCCAATTGAACTATCACGGCTCGAAAATAATATGCAATTCAATTGTCTGACGACCTACCCGCAACAAACGCGACGTGCAAACAAGATTGCCAGTACGGTGCGGAAGTACAGATTCGCGAAACGCGAGAAGCTGCCAGTACAGTGTGGAACTCAACCAGGGGAGAGCGTGAAGCTGGTAAAACTGTGGGTACAGCGCGGCAGAGTGTCAACGCATCGCCATCGCGCAATCAAAATGACTACCGCGTGCCACGCACCCCCCTCGACTCGAAATATAGCGCCAATCAATCAAAATCGAATCGTAGAATTGGCCAAAGATCGGAACGTGCGTCGGATCGGACCGCTTCGGCCCGCTGTCGGGATCGAATCGGATCGGCTACACCATGATCCGCAACAACGACGTGCAAACATCGTGCCGCAACGGGCTGTCGGAATATCGGACTCTAATCGCATCGGGCTGGCCGATACCGAGATCGAATCGGATCGAACAACGGACCCTGCCTCTCTTTGCTTGCGCCCCACAGCTCCTGCCTCGCTGGCTACGTGAGGATCAGACAGTTGGCATTCTCCACAGCCTGCCCGCTCCAGAGAAGTGTGGGCAAGAGGGGAGCGAAAGGAGGAACAAGTCGACCGAGCGAAGGGGGAAATTTGGTGGGGATGGGGAGAGGGGGTCGACGAGAGAGAGAGAGACGGTTATCCCGCGCTGTCCACTGCGCCACCCTGCCTGGCGGCCACGCGCGGCAAGGGCACGGCACGGTACGCGATAGGCACGTTCGCGCCATCTGTCAACTACGGTTAGCGTTGCAAAGACAGCGTCCAATATCGACCTCCAAAAGCACGCTATCCCTGTGAGGGGCACGAGGGCCGCGTCTGCGCAGGCTGCCTCCTGGCTAGGGCTTCGTCGGTGCACGCTACCGTCGGACCTACGCCAGAAAAACACCCCTCAATACCATGGCACCCTCCGCCAGCCAAAACACACAGAACATCCAGTGGTACCCTCCCCAGCATGCACAAAAAATCCAGCAAACAAGAACAACGTCAGGGTACCCTCCCCGAACCGACCTCGATCTTATACCTCGGACCGACTGTATGTGCGTAGCACGGATTCGGCAACCTGAGATAATGTCGCCCTGGCTCCAGAAATGGGTTTTGTATGGGCCCTCAAATTGGGAGTCCTCCTCATGGCCCCTCTAGTCTACTAAGATCCCGTCTCGTGCCCCCCCCCCACTGGATGTCTTTATCACGGGCCCGTGGATGGGAGAGAATCTGCGAATGGACTTTCACAATCGGTGCGACTGCATCCCCAAGGTGGAGGATACCGTGAAATAAGCGGGCGCCGGCGGCACCACGTCGCACGCTGTCTTTTCAGCGCCAACCGTAAGCACGGACCGGGCGCAAGACGGCACGCGGGCACGGCACCGGAACGCCATGCGGGTAGCACATGTCGCCTCCTGAAACATGGGCACGGTACGGCTAAGCGCACAGCACGGGTACGCCACGCCACGGTGGCGGCACACGTTCGCATTCTGGAACTTGAGCACAGCACGGCACGCGAACGCGTGCGGCACGGCACGTCACGGCGCGGGCCCTTCCCGTCCTTCCTGTGTAGAACTTGGACAGCACGGCACGGGCACGCCGCAATACGCGGACCGCAAACCTTTCACAGACTTGAACCTAGAACCCAGCTCTTGTGATACAAGTGGAACCCCTGCCACATTCCCCATCGGGGAAACAGAACTGCACTGAAGAAAAAACTGCACTGAAGAATAGGCATGGCGCGGGCACGCCACGGCACGCGGGCACGGCACGGCGCACGCGGGCACGGCGCAGCAAGGCCAGAGGGCGAGACCGTTGCAGTCTGAAGACCAGGCACGGCGCGGGCACAGCACGGCATGGGCACGGCACGGCACGCGGAGACGGCTCTGATGAGCACAGCTTCGCAGCGTCACAGAGCTCGCTTAGCAAGAGAAAGCGTCATCGGAGCATGATCAGGAAGCGGCGAGCATGAGCCAGCAGAGGCTCAAATGCGCGCGTGAAGAGATGTACGGCTAATGGGTACAAATCTGAACAACTGGGGGTCTTGCCTTTCCCTGGGCAGCAAGCGAGATGTCCAACCACTGCAGTCGAGACCAACCTAAGGATGCGAAGGTAAAGCTACAAGGCCCGTGGGCGTCCAAGTTTCGACACCTGGCCAACGAAATTGTCTGACAGAGGCAAAAACAAAAGCGCAAAGGCG